TGGTGGTTGGAGTGTGGGGGGAGGAGCCAGGACTCCTGGGTCCCCTGTCTGTTGCAGTACCCTGGCGTGTCTCTCTCTGCCTTCCCAGGTGGTGGAGCGGGCAGTGGCAGAGCTGCGCCGGGCGCTGGCCGTGCTGGACGGGCACCTGAAGCTGCGCACGTACCTGGTGGCTGAGGCTGTGACGCTGGCGGATGTGACCGTGGCCTGCGCCCTGCTGCTGCCTTACAAATACGTGGGTGCCCCAGCTCCCCTGTGGCCCCGCCCCCCACGACCCACTCTCCCGGCTGCTGGGTGGGGGGTGCATCAGGGGAAGGGTGGGAAATGGGGCGGGGGGGGGAACTGAGAAGGCAAGATACCCCCAGCCTCTCCCCCACACACTGGGTAGCTGGGATCGGGTGAGGAGCCCATTAGGACATCCTGGGGGTGGGGGTGACTTGGCACAGTCTGTGTGTGGGACTGGAAGGTCAGTTTTGGTTGGGAACCCGTCTAGTCCGTCCCCCCCACCCCACCTTTATTGCCAATAATAGTGTTTCCCTTCTCCAATTTCAATAATGGTATTCCCCCCCCGTCAATTCCAATGATGCTATTGCCCGATACTCCCCTCCCCCTCCTGAATTCCAGTAATGGTATGTTCCTTCCTCAATTCCAATAATGGTATTTCCTGATATTGTCACCCCCCACTCCAATAATGGTATCTTCCCCCTCCCCCATTCTAAAGATTTCTTCTCACTCCTCCACCCTGGAATAATATTGGTATCTCCTAATTTCCCTCTCCCCCTCCCCTGTTTCAATAATGGTATCTCCCTTGCCCCCCCTACCAATAATGGTTCCCCCCCAATCTCTCATGTTCTTTCCCCAGGTGCTGGACCCCCCCAGCCGGGCTCCTTACCCCAACGTCACGCGCTGGTTCCTGACTTGCGTCAACCAGCCCCAGTTTCAGGCCGTGCTGGGGCCGGTGAAGCTGTGTGAGCAGGCGCGCGGGGGTGACGCCCCCAAACCGAAGACCCAGGGTAAGTGACGCCCCCAACACCTGCCCAGAGCACCCCTTCCAAGCCTTCTCCGCCTGCAATGCCCCTGCTGCGTTGGCTTCGCGGTGACCTGCGGAACTCCCTGCTACTGGATATTATAGGGGACACTGGGCTGGATTGACCCGGGGCTCAGATTCATGGTGGTGGGGGCGGGATTCCAGCCTGGATGTGTCTATGGGTCTGATTGGGGGGCAGGACTGGGGTGGGGTACCGGCTTGGATGAACCCATTGATCACACCAGTGGGCCCAGCCCCCAGATCAGATCTGGGTGGCCAGAGGTAGGGGGGCTTGACCCACAGATCAGATTCGTGGTAGCAGACATGGGATACTGTGCTACATGGGCTCATGGGTCCAATCCTGCCTGATTTTTCTCCCCCCGCAGAGTGTGTGGCGCCTGCAGAGATGGGACCAGCAGCGGGGTCAGTCCCTGGCCCTGGGGAGGCCCCGGTCAAGAGCGCCTCTCAGCTGAAGAAAGAGGCGAAGAAGAAAGAGAAGCTGGAGAAATTCCAGCAGAAGAAGGAGAAAAGCCAACAGCAACAGGGGGAGGTGAGAGAAATGCGACCAGCTCTGGTGCGGGGTGGCTGGGGAACAGCTGCACGGAACGCTGCCTGGGGATGGCCCGCTGGTGCTGAGATGCAGCCAGCTCTGGGGCGGGGCGGCTGGGGAACAGCTGCACGGAACGCTGCCTGGTGATGGCTCGCCCGGTGCTGAGATGCAGCCAGCTCTGGGGCGGGGCGGCTGGGGAACAGCCGCGTGGAACGCCGCACGAGAGTTTGGGAGTGGACAGGGGACCGTGTAGCTGTTTTGAAATCCGAGGCTACGTTTTAGCGAGGGCACAATCGAGTCAGCCGAGTTGGGGCCTGGCCAGGATGCCGGTGTTCCCACCCCAACTCTTCGGGGGAGAAGTACAAGGGTTCTGCAGTGAGCATGCTGGTGTCCCCTGCTGCCCCCCACCTCGCTCCCTGCAGCACAGCGCCCCTCGGTGCCGAAGGGCAGCATTACACATCCTTTCTCTTTTCTTCTCTCCTTTCCCCACAATTCTTCCCCT